GGTGTCATCTACCTCTGCCTCCTACAATCCTTCTTCCCACTCTCCTATATGGTTCCTTGATTTACACCTATTGTTTGGCTGGGGGTCCTTGCATCCGCTCCCATCAACTGCTGGAGGAAGGTCTAAGCTCTCTGATGGTGATGGGGCTAGGCACTGAATGATGAGGATAGCAGAATATCATTAGAATAACTTTTTTTCCTATCCTAGTTTCATATATATATATATATATGAATATTATATATATGTATGTTATATATATATACACATAATATATACTGGTATTCAATCATTTGTAGTGATGCAAATTCCTACTTGCTGTCATGTTTCTTTCGATAGGTCATCCATATCACTCCCACAGGCTTAGGGGACAGCAAAAGGAAGGCTATAAGAACTGAAAGGGAGGAGGAATGGTGTGAAATGCTGTCTTCTGTATATGACATGACTGTTGCGCAAATCAACTAGAATTAGTTTGGTTACCCTACATAAAACCAACACAAGAGCATGGATAGAGGGGATCTTAGTTTTTCTCTTTTTTCTGCATTTGTTGCTTTTTATCTTGACTTTCCTCCATGTGTTTTTACAGATTTGTGTTTAATCCACCGTCTTTCAGAGAAGACCCTCACATAATAAATTTCACTTTTCTATTTCTTAGTGGATTTTCTCCCTGGGTCATTAATGCAAGAGAGGTGCTAAAATCTCCTCACAATTACTGTATTAATGTCTATTGCTCTCTTTTGCTTATTAATACTTTTATGCATTTAGGTGTTCTGGTATTGAACATATATGCATTTATAACGGCTTTTTTTGCAAACATGACAACATGAAATCTTATATAATGAATTTCTTTACTTTTTATAATCATATTTTGTTTAAATTCTATTTCATTTTATATCAGTGTAGGTGTTTTAATCTGGACTAGATTCCGCTGGCATATGAAATATTGTTTCAGTCTCCCACGGCCAGTGCATGGTGCTGTTAGTGGTAGACTTTTAAAGATTCACCAGGTGAATTCCTTGTCATCGGTGTCCATTTTTTTTTATTTTTAAAAATATGTTCAGTTACCGCATGTCTTTTAGTTGGATGACTTAATTTATACTCATTTTTGAGTATGGTGTTGCTATTATCATTTTATCCTCTTCCCTTCTTCCCTCACCCTCCCCTCCCTTATTTCCATGCCTTCTCTCCTTTTTTTCTCTCTTACTTTTTCTTGTATAAATGATTTTTCTCTGGTTTTTTTCTTGATTATTATTTTTGGATTGTCTGCCACTAAAATTTGCTTTTCAGTTACTATGAGGCTTACCGAAATGTTTTTGTTGTTGTTGTTGTTGTTGTTGTTTTGTTTTGTTTTTGTACAAAAAGTTGTTTCTAGATGATGGCAACTTAACATTAATCATAAAACCAAGAACAAAGGACAAAAGAAACCAATAATAATAGAAATACCCATGCTTGACTTCCATTCTTTATTACATTTAACACTTTGACATCCCATTTTACGAATCTCTATATTGACAGTACATAGACATACTTATGCAGGTAATTTTAATTGATTTTATACTGTTCACACTAAAAATGTAATAGAACTATGTTTATGTTCAAACATTATGAGTTTGTTTGAATGATTACTTTCTGAAAAATCTTGTTTCTTTTTGTTTTCCTCTTTCTCCTTGTAATCTCTTTTTCTCAGATGTCTTAGCATTTCTTTGTATATAGATATGATTTATTACTATTTTGGAAATTGAATACCAACAATGTGTTTTGGTTCTATTTGCCCTCACCCTACCTCCTCCCTCTGTTCTGCCCAGATCCAACACCACTTTCTTGCCCATGCAACTTTCAGTTCTATTTTTCCAATAAAGCTAGCTTGTGCTGCCAAAGTATTCCGGAATGTTTGCCCTTCTACTGGAGCATAGTGATTTATAATTGGCCACATTCTTAGAAAAAGAAATTGGCCCTCCCTCTCCTAGCTGCTATTAATTAATTAATTGTAAATAGCTCTTTGGCTGGAGGTGGGAATTAGTGCTCAACTCCTCTCTCAGTCGAGAGATGTAGCCTATCAAAGAGCAGCATCGATGAATTTTGTACATTCCAGGGTAGGAGCATGGGACATGAGGATTAGAATGATTAAGCAAAAGAATCAGAGATATGAGAGATATAAGAGACAGAAACAGAACAGCATTGGTAGGGAAATTCAGTGGATAATGAATCCATCTGCTTTTATGTTCAACATTCTTCTATATTTCACTCCAAAAGAGGACAGGGGGGCAACAGATTTTATTAGCATCATACAAGGAATAGACTTGAATTCTCCGACCTTTGGTCAGGGTGGAGCAGATCCACCTCTGTATCCAAAACACTAATTAAAACACATATTAGGTCAGAATCTCTTGTTTGTAGTCACACCTGTTGTTCTCAACAACTTTGAAAGAGCAAAAGTAAGACTCTCTGACCTCCAGTCAAGGTGGAACAGATTCACATCTGTGGGTCCTCACAATACCTCCCTTTTATCTTAGTTAATACAGCCTGTGCTTCTGCTACTTCTACCTTGGGGACCTTTTTTTCATTTTCCAGACTTACCTGTCATCATTACATACATTCTGTTATGTCTGTTCTGTCTTAGATTGCCTGAAAAGGGGTGGAGGGGGCAGGAATTTTGCCTATCTCTGACTACCAGCCTCTGTGAATAAAAGGTTAAAGGAGAAGGCATCTCGGCTCTGTGCACCTTTGAGCCAATTTTCTGTCGAGAGTTAGTCATATGCAAGAAGATAAAGATGCTTTGTGATACATATACTTCCATATCTACAAAATCTCCTAATAAAGGAGTGGAGGATGACCAGAGAAGGGACTGCCTTTTTAAATTGGTGTAGGATATCTTTAACAGTTTTCAGCTACAATCAAAATCCAAATTTGTCCTTTTAAACATATCAGCAAAGAAAGTCTATCTTCAATGGCAGATCCATGGCATCTCTGACATTCAGTTTTGTCTTCCCTGCTTACATAAGTTCTGCCCTATCAACAGGCCCAAAGCAGTTTCTTTATTAACAAATGAAAGCAAAACAAAGACTGAAGGACCTCTTTACTATGAGGCTTCATACTGAGGTTTGTATTTGGTTCCCTGAGTTTTTCATTTCCACCATCCTTCCAGTTGGGTTTTCGGTAGTTCTTCTCTTTATTATTGATGTGTAGTAATTTTGCATCTTTGATTGACTTCCTTGTTTATTTCAGTTCTGTGTATTTGTTATTTTGGGGGTATACTCCAACTTCTCTTGAGCTGTTTGTACATAGTTACAATCATTTTTCATTTATATGCTTGATTATTTTTCTAGGTCATATTCATCAGGCCCCTTATTCTGGGGTTAGTAATTTTTGAAGGAGAAATGGTCTTCTGAGTTTTCATGTTGTTTCTGTTTCAGGGCTAGGATTGGACATCTGAAGCTAACTAGCTGAGTAGAAGTGTGGGCTAAGATTTGGAGGTCTGTGGACATGAGACTTGTCATCCTTCGGGCTAAGGGAGCTGAGAAATGTAGATTTGGGTCTCATTACCTGAAATATACTTCTATAATTCTTAATGTATTACACAATAATTTCCCACTGAAAATTTGAATTAATTTATTTGTTACCTAATCCTATTACTGAGGCATAATTGCATCCATTTTACTGGTGCAAGAAATAGATGTGCATGCAAGCTCATACAAGCAGAAAAGAGATTAGTATAATGTATTGAACTTAACCACACAATCAGAGCATTTTCATTGAATCAGTGGGAACAAAAACTAGAGAATTCAGAAATGAATGTTACTACTTTGTGGATCTACTTGTGAACAGAATGCTGTATGCAAAACCTCATTCTCTTGGAAATATAAAAGTAGAACAGTATGAAATAAGCAATTTGTTATAAGTACATGGGTTTTGAACTAAAAAGGTGAAATTCTCCTCAGTATTAATGAACTAATCAGCTGGGCGGTGGTGGCGCACGCCTTTAATCCCAGCACTTAGGAGGCAGAGGCAGGCAGATCTCTGTGAGTTCGAGACCAGCCTGGTCTACAAGAGCTAGTTCCAGGACAGGTTCGAAAGCCACAGAGAAACCCTGTCTCGAAAAACCAAAAAATAAAAAAAAAATTAAAAAAAAATGAACTAACCAAATGTTATCAACATTAAAATAATTTAAAGTCAGCATTGGGTAGCATGAAACGTCAGTAACTATATAAATTATGCTTTATTTGAAGCCTAGCTTGAAGTATACATCAAGAGAATAGGGAAAATATGATCAAATTTCATTTTAATGATGAAGTATAAAATGAGGTTTAGTTTCAAAATCTAAAGTATTGCTGCTGTTATTACATGGACTTGATTATCATTCCTGCAATTTGTATCTAGATTTAGAACATATGATATTGTTTCACTTCTTTAAGCCCCAATTTTCTTACAGGTATAATAATAATGGATAGTAAAAGTGCACTGTGGAATTGTTAGGGAATTTGGACCCGGACACATGGCCCAGTTGGTAACGCACATGCTTCACAAGCACGAGTACATGGATTTGGACGGTCAGCACCTACATAAAACCCTGGTTTGCAGGTGTGTTTCTGTAGGTAAATACAGGAGGTGGGATAAAATAGAAAGATGTCGGTTAATAATAATAATAAAAAAAAACAGTAACAAAACACAGAAGCTACCAACTCTTTAAAAAGAATAGAGGGTTTTTTTTGTTGTTGTTGTTGTTTGTTTGTTTTGTTTTGTTTTGTTTTTGATTTTCGAGACAGGGTTTCTCTGTAGCTTTTTGGTTCCTGTCCTGGAACTAGCTCTTGTAGACCAGGCTGGCCTCGAACTCACAAAGATCCGCCTGCCTCTGCCTCCCGAGTGCTGGGATTAAAAGCGTGTGCCACCACCGCCCGGCAAGAATAGAGGTTTTAAACAGGATATGAAACCTCAGAATCACAGTTTTTCCTAGTTTATTTCTTTTTTTTGTTATTTATGTATCTTCAACAAATCATTGAGTGGGTTTTGCTATAGATTTTTCATAAGCCAATTCAAGTACTGATTTTGCATCTTGTGTGCAACTTTAAAACCATGAAGGGTAAGTGCTGCATGGAATCCATCCTCAATGTGGTGATGTGTCACCTGAACTCCAACATTCTGGAGCCGCGTCACATACATGAGTCCATCATCTCTTAGGACATCATACTGACAAGTGATGATATAGGTCAGAGGTAAGTGACTCAAAGTGTTGTCGTTGGCCAACAGAGGGCATGCCTTCACATCTAGGAACCCTGGGTACTTTTTAGACAGTTCAGAACTACCAGGAGTGGGACTCTTGTAGATGTGACCTTTCTTATATCTCTCAGGGAGTAGGGAACTCCAGTTCACAAGTTGCAACAGATGGCTGGATTCCAGAGGTACATGTTGGTTGAGAAGCATGGCTTTCTCCAGTGTTCGATCTGTAGTAAAGTATTCACTCCAAAACCTGGCCAACAAGGAGGTAGTTAAAATTGGAAAATATATACCTTCTTGATATGATGGTAAGTTTATATCAAGAATCTGAAGGGCAGGATATATTAAGGCCTGAACCTTGAGTTTTGTCTTGACTTCTGGATCCTGTATGAGCTGAAAAAGAATTAAAATTACATTGGAATGAATATTTTAATAGGTCTATTTTCATCTGGAAATAATATGTAGAGATGAGATAAATTCAAATAATCAGACACAACAAAAATATCTCACAGAATTTTCCAATTTTCTATATTGTCAGTGTCTACTCCTAAATGTAACTACTGACATCATGTAGACGTATTTTACACAATGCTCATGATTCAGTTTCAAAAATACTAGTAGAAATGCTATGCAATATTTCCCCTGAAAGTGCTTTTATGACTTTGGCAAGTCATGTATTATTAAATATGATAACCAGTCAAAAACCAAGGAGGATGTTGAGAAGCAAGTCTCTAACTGATTTGAACATTTTTTTTGCTCTGACACTGAGAGTCAATCATTGCAACATACTAGAGAGGGGGTGGTTTATGCATGTCCCATCTAGGAGAATGAATGGGGGGAGGTTCTTCTATTTAATGTCACAGTTGTAGCCCTGAGAGGGTACCAACACTCATCTCAGGGAAAGGTGTCCTTTAAGTAGTGCATGTTACCAAAGACAAAACAATGAAGTTAGGATTTACTGCGTGGAATGTCTGTCTTGAAAATGTTTCAGGTCTAGAAATATTCTGCTTCTTTTTAGTCTGTGACTGTCAATAGCATATTAAATGATATTTTATACAAATATTTAGTAACTATGAGTTTGAAATCTTTTAAAATGACAGAAGTTGGATTTATAAAAGAAGGGTTTATAATGCAACAGGGAAAACAAATGCATGCCTATAGTGATAAGGTTAAATGGACAAATCCACAATTGGATACTGCTTTACTTCCAAAAATTCTTGTCTCTTGATGTGTACTTCATGTTGTACTGGGCTTCCTTCCAGAGCAAAGAGGAATATGCAATGTAGAATTCAAACTATGAAATATATTCTACGGCTGGAGAGATGACTCAGAGGTTAAGAGCATTGCCTGTTCTTCCAAAGGTCCTGAGTTCAATTTCCAGCAACCACATGGTGGCTCACAACCATCTGTAATGGGGTCTGGTGCCCTCTTCTGGTGTGCAGGCATACACACAGACAGAATATTGTATACATACTAAATAAATAAATAAATAAATAAATATTTTTTTTAAAAAAAGAAATATATTCTACACTTGTTTTACAGATATTAGCACAAACCACAGAATTTGTAGTTTCTTTTCTATGGAAATAAAGAAGATAATTTAAATGTAGCAGTGTACGCAAACAAAATGTACTCATAGTAGCTAACTATCCTAAAACTTTATGAACAACTCAGATTATCAATCATCTGACAAGCAAAAGGTAACTGTAAACTGATGAATTACATTCTTAGTCCTCTGTCCTAACATGTCTCCTTTAGAAAATTTATGATTCCATTATCAAGAGATATGAAATCAGTTCCGGCATCCTCCAACTCTCAATATTACTGTTACCATGGTCTCAATTTTGGTGACAAATAAAGTTGAGCAACTTTACTAGTACAACCCATAATAGGTGCAGGATGTTACCTAACTGACCATAATAATAGTTGACCAAAATCCTAGAAATTATATTTTGTTATTTATATATAAAAGAAAACACTAACATAAAACACACTTAGAAACACTATATAGACAAATGTTTCCTAACATCAGTACAGGCATTTCTCTAGTTTTTAACATGGTATTAAAATAGCATGTTTTCACTGATCTTTCAAATGTCTGACGCAAATATATTTACATATAGGGTGTTTTAAGATCTCAGACAAACCTGTTGGGTCACAGCTGCAGCTAAGTTCCCACCAGCACTGTCCCCAGCTACACCAACTCTTCGAGGATCTACACCATATCTTTCAAGAATGTCCTCCTGTAAGAACCATCGTAAGGCACTGTATACATCTTCAAACTGACGTGGGAAATGATATTTGGGAGCCAAGCCATAGCTGTGCGAAGAATAATTGTTTCAAATGAATGAAATTTAATTTCATATGCCATCTCTCTAAAATAAAGGCCAATTTCCTTTAAAAAACGTATTTTTGTGATCCATATACCCATGGATATGTTTTACCCCAATATCTTGGTCGATTTCATCGTTATACTACTAATAACTTGAGAAAAATATTGAATTCTACTTGAGGTAGAAATAAAAGAATGAAAAATACAGCAGGTAATACATTTCCTAATATTTTTTCCAGCACTTTCTTTTTACTATTGTTATACTTTATTGGAAATTGGTCAGTGACAAACAAATCTTATTAATTTAATGTTTGAACTTTACCTAATATAAAAGTGGTATGTGACCACTATGTTTTATTATTAATTACTTAAGTTATTCAATTCATTCCTATCAAATTGATTTCTTAGCAATATTCTCTTTGTATGTGATTTGTCTGTTTCCATGTGTAGCTTGAGGACAAATTGCTTTTAATGATGATTTTGCCATGGCATATGGTAAATTAACCCCTTAAGTGCAGTTTGCCATGACATCCTCAGGAAGACCACATTGTGTAGAAAATATATGTCTCTCAGTTCACATACAGATAAACTAAACTGAATTAATAGAATATGACATGTACAAAGTCTCAAGGCAAAGTTTCAAACCTTATTTGCCTGTGATTCTCTAAGTACTCAGTCTGCTGAAGGAAGCTATGCAGGTCACTGGTATGTGTTATGCACTGGTATTAATATGTTCTAATGATTTCTGAACTTTCTCTTTTCAGTCCTGGTTGATTTTAAGCGTTGTGTTTTGTTTTGCTTTTTGTTTGTTTTCTCTGAGTCTATTCTTGCCAACTCGAGTTCACTTTCTCTTTGCTCACTCTCTTAATTTCAGTTAAAATATTCCAGAAATAACCCCCCCACACACAAAAAATAAAATGTGACCAAGAGTGTTAGTTTCTCGCTACACAAAACACATGACTAAACATTGAAGAAGCAAACCATAGTCTTACTCAGTTGACACGACAATAGCATCGAGTCTATCAGCTGTCTGTCTTGCCAGAAGGTCATACATAGAAAGAGCTGAAATTGAGAAAACAGAGTGAGAGACTGTCAAGGGAAGTGCTAGAAAAGCATGTCATCAAAAGCACAGCAGTGCACATTGCTCCTCACACACAGTATACAACTGCTTCTGTTTATAACACTTCATTGTCTTTGTAGAAAATGAATCCTCCGCCATTTTCACATAGACACAGTCAAGGGCTTGCTCTATTAGCTTTACATTGCCTAGTCTAATCCGCTGCTATTCTATTGAATATCCATATCTTATAGCAAATCTTAAGTGTTGAAAGTATACATGACTATACCCCTACTATAAGCTACTGAGCTGTGGACTTGCTGAGGCTGATATGCACCAGTCCAGGTAATATGAATGCTCGTTGTCCCTTCACCTGGAGCAGATAATCAGATGGTTTTAATAAATGCCCCCATTGCCCAATCTTTGCCTAGCCTTTCACAGTTCCTGAGCCCTGACGAGCCATGCCTTAGGTCATCTGGAAGCAGCTACAGAAGAGAACACATCATCCTTGCTTCCATAACAGTGGCTAAATAGGGTTAAGTCAGAATATACTTCCTGACATAGGGGACAAAATGACTATAGTGCTAATTTCAATTGATATACAAAAAGTTGGGCTCAGATTTATCAATAGGTAGCTTCATCAATTAAAATGGTTCTAATATGATAGAATACCTAACCTGCTTTATGCAAAACAAAGAGATTTTGTCTGAATTTTAGAAGCCCAGGAAGTTGCCTTTCTATTTTTGTTAACTACTACTAACTCTTACAATATTAATATAACAGCTAAATGGCAGTATCTCTCTTGGTATCATTAGCCATGGTTAATAGATAGTAATGTAAACCAGTTCTCATCATACAGTCAAAGATTTGACCCAAGATACAACTTCAGAGGGAAATGTTAGACCTGAAGTAACCTATTGGTTTGTTTCTGTTTCAAAACCTAAATAACCATCTCATCATTATCACCCCTGGAATGAAAGATACAAAACAGGAGTCCTGGAAAAACTATATCCCACTGAGAATGCTGCAATGCGTTCCTCAGGTCTTAACTAAATTCCAGAGCACCTTATGTCTCTCTATCTTAAAATCAAGTTATAAAGATGTTATATACTACTAATGCTACTATGAAACCCGTACATCATAAAATATGTAAGGTATATTGGCTATATGCATTATATGTGATTTATTTACATTCAATAAAGTAAAATTATAATAATACAATTACATGTGGTGAAATATTATATTATATAATCTAAACAAGTGTAATATATACTATCAAATAAAAACAGTATTTTCAGCTCTGTGATTTTTATAGCTACCATCTTTGTTCTCACTTCCTTCAGATTAATGCTTTATAAAAGACCATGGTCAGCATCTCAACTTGATGATATTTTGTCCACTATTCAGTTCACCCCCACTTTGGTTCTCACTACAGCATTCCATCAATTCTAAAATAATAAAACCATATATTCAAGAAGCCCTTTCTCTTCTTACCTGAGATTGTCTACAGTTCTTAGTAGTAATGAATACCCATTTCAGAAAAGAACACGTTTCATACAATTGAAGCACTATTATATCTTATTATATTACTATAACTAACATATATGTTTTTAATATGGGGTGTATCACATTTTGTAGAACAAACAACAACGTTCAGGAAAAGGGACACACCTGCACTCCCCAAACACCAGCCACCACCGTGAATATAAAACAGGCCCCTCCTGAGGGTCTCTGACTTCCTTTTGGGCATGTATACGCGAACAGGAACACTGCTGAAAGCTGTGTCTATTACAGTGACATTTTCATCAGAAGTGGCCGGGACTTCTTGAAGACTCAAAAACAATTGTATTGTGCTCATGAAATGACCGATTCCCAGAATTTCAGAAATAGAAGCCTAAGTAAAGAGCAGAAAAATGATTAAAATTGTGTGTGTGTGTGTGTGTGTGTGTGTGTGTGTGTATGCAGACTGCTGAGTCCCTTTAGAGTCTGCCCTCTTGTAGATGATGTTCCCTGAGCATGAGGTATAGGGTAGTTTTGTAGACTTAGCAGTTGAGGCTGAGCACCCTCATAGTTAATTTGTGTACTTTATGAACTGTACTTCTTTTCATTTTTAAAATTTATGTTCATTAGTGTTTTGTTCATTAGCACTGATGTTTGTATGAGGGTGCCAGGTACCCTGGAACTGGGTTACAGATAGTTGTGAGCTGTCATGTGGATGCTGGGAATTGAACCTGGATCCTCTGGAAGAGTAGCCAGCGCTCGTAAGTGCTGAGCCATCTCTCCAGCCCCTGTTTTTAAAATTAATTTTACTTTTGTCATTTCTTTCTTTATTTATGCTTTTGAGTTCTTTTATATTCTAGGAATTAACCTCCTATCAAATATATTGCTGGCAAAGAGTCTTTCCCTCTAAGGGCTTCCTCTTCATGCCACTGAGAGTTTTCCTGGCTGCTCAGGAGCTATTTAGTTTTTTTTTGAAGTTCCATTTTTCAATTGTTGAGATTAATATCTAGGTAACAGGTATCTCACTCAGAAAGTCCTTGCCCACACGATGTCATGTAGGACTGCCTGCACTTTCTTCTAGCAGTTTCAACATTTCAGGTTTCACATGGAGTTATCTGATCCATTTGGAGTTTGGAGTTGATATTTCTGTGCAGTGTGATAGATAATTGTTTTCTCTATATGTTCACATGCAGATGTCCCAGCATTATTTATTGAAGATGCTGTCCTTTCTCCAGTGTGTGTTTGGGAATCTTTGTCAAATATTAAATAGCTTTTCTAATGTGAATTCCTATTAGTATGCATGTCTGCCTGTACCATTACCATCTAAAACACGTTATGTTTTTCATAATTTTTTTCATCAAAACATGGCATACATTCTTTTTATATTTTTCACGTATACAATTTCACATGTTAGTTAGAATATTTTATTTTTAATAAACACACTGCAGTTTTTCTTTAAAGTATTTTTATACACTATATTTTGATTGTTTTCCCTTCCTTCAATTAAAATCTCCCCAACTCCCTACCCATCCCAATTTATGCTCTCTCTCAAAAGAAAAGAAAACACAAAATCAAAACCAAAACAAACCAGCAAAAAATTAACAAGTCAATAACATGTCAAAACAAAACATAACCATACTTTTAGCAAAGACTTGGGAATAAAATAATATTAAATTGTTCCCTATATACTGTAATCTACCAAAACATGTTCATTAGTGTTTTGTTCATTAGCACTGACGTTTGTATGAGGGTGCCAGGGACCCTGGAACTGGGTTACAGATAGATGTGAGCTCTCATGTGGATGCTGGGAATTGAACCTGGATGCTTCCCATCATGACAATAGACTAAGCCTCTGAAACTGTAAACAAGTATCAGTTAAATACTTTCTTTAATGAGTTGCTGTGGTTATGGCACCTTTTCTCAGCAGTAGAACACTTTTTAAGAAGACTTCATACATGAAGCGTGTGTGTGTGTGTGTGTGTGTGTGTATATATATATATATATATATATATATATATATATGTATATATATGGAATTACTCCACAGTAGTGCCACCCCATAGAAGCTATAGACTATCAAACAAAATGCTCAGCAGACATGGTATACCTCCCTTTGCACTATGGTTCAAGAATTTCCAAGACACTATATGTAGTTTTGTATGTTAAATATTGTATATATCTGCATACATAGTCATTATAGCATTAAGATTTCTTTAATATGAAAATTGAATAAAATGATTTAACTGCATTCCCCAACAAATAGTTGAAAACTGTCAATGATCAGCCAAGTTAACAATACAAGAAAGGTACACATAGCGTTCAAATAAAATAACATTTAATATAAATAAACAGTGTGAGTATTCAAAAAGGAAAAAACAAGGAACTCTAATCACAAATATGATAAGACTATATGGTACACTAACAAAATGGCATTCACTATAAAGGAACAGTGCAAGTATATAAGAGTATATGGTACACTACTTCAGAAATGAATTCTTAAAATATCATAGACTATCAAAAGACAGAATCATAGGAACTCAAGGACTAGACAGATTGATGTTGTAAGATTATTGCTAACCAAAAGGAAGAAAAGGATAAACACACTGTTACCAGTCTTCATGCTAGAATTAAAAAAGGAATAAGAAGAAATGCCAAAATAACTTCACTGATAAAATCAAACTAAAACTCAAAATATTACATAGTGTGGAAAAAGAAAATAAAGCAAAAGAAGAGAGGACTGTAGAAATAGTTTAGAAAGAATGAATGACTAATTAAATGCCCCAATTCATTTCCTTTATAAGAGTTTTTATGGTCATTGTGTCTTTTCACAGCAATAGAATCCTAAGACAGCACGTCAGATGTTTGTTACTCAGGCTAAGTGTCATTGACTGACTTATGAATCTTTTGCTCCACAAAATAAATTCGCTACAGAGAGGGCTAAAGAAGACATGCATGATTTTATTTCTACATACTAAATTTCTCTCCGGAAGAACTAGCAGTGACAACTGTAAGCAGCAAGCCAGGTAACCACATTCTCCTACAGTGATACACCTTGCTCCAATTGGGAATCATATGTGTTGCTCTTTACTGTTTTTATTTTAATCACTCAGTCTCATGAACTGTATCAACAAACTGTAAGTCTATGCCTAAGTCCAAGAGTACTGCCCAGACTTCTGTAATTAAAGAGACTATTCCGTTCTTCCTTCCCTGAAGTTGATACCTGTAAAAAGCTTCACCTGACAGTACTATACAACACACACTCTGCATCCTTGCTCTTTCTCCTCTGCTAGCTTCTTGCCTGTTGCTGTCTACACAGGGATTAAACCTGGAGGCTGAGCATGCTAAGAAACTTCTCAACTTCTATTTTATTTCTATTAAATTATTCAGTATTCCAAAGGCCGTTCAGAACTTACTGTTTGTTCTTACCAAACTTACCAAATTCATGTATATGTTTTCTGTTGTTATTTCGAGTGTCAGTTTCCAAGGCTCTTCAATATCACCTGGAAGAGGGGTATAAACATAATAAGCTACAAGGACCACAGAGATGAGAAGCAAAATGGTTCTCCCCATGTTTCTCCCTGCTCATTCTACTTTGGAAGTTCAGCAAATAAAACTTTTCAAATTTTTGGAGATTGAATTTTAACCTGCCGTAAAGTGTTATCTAACTTATTAAGGACAAATTCTACTGCATGACTGGTTCTTGCATAAGCACTCCAAAATACATTTTTCTTATCATAATCCCTACGTAAAGAGCTTTCAAAACTGAATTTCTCTCTCCAAGTTGCTTCCATTCTAGGAGCCAGATCCTGTTTCTATGCCAGTGTGCAATGAAACGTTATCATAACGAAAATAGTGCCTTCACTCTCTGTTCTGTGTATAAAGGGTATTGAAACAAACAGGAAACCTAGTGTGTGCATCAACTGTAAACTAAGAGAAGACTAAGGGCACCTTTAAAGCAATGCAAACTTTGGAAAGGAAGTTCCTTCCTCTTTATTCCCTCTGTGCCTTACTATGTCCCCTGCTGAGAAACTTCAGCAGTTTTTTTTTTTATTTTTTAAATGAGTATTCAATTGCACTGCTTAGGATATTTCTTTTTATTTGTGTTATTTCTCTTATTTTGAGATTATGTTAAATTACATCATTTTCCCTCCCTGTTTACAGCTCAGTTGATTCCAGTCTGTACAATTTACTCTTGTAAAACCTGTTTCTCTTTACTTTATATCTGGCTGTCTTGGTAGTTAAAGTCCCACCTTCCTAGCTCCAGTCCAGTATTCTCATCTAAAATCTGATTTGTCTGTCAGTCTGTTAAAGCTGCCAGCAGCAAACCCACAGAAAAGACATTTTCTGTTCTAAGTCCCATTTGCTTGGATGGTAAATGACTCAAGTGTTGAATGATTAAATCGTTTTATTGAGTATTGAGTATATTTCACGTCAAATTTAAGCTGTGGACTTTATTTTCTCTAGGAAGTCCATCCCATCACTTTGTCTTCCTATCAGCATGGGAGCAGAAGGAAGAATATTGGAGACTACTTCACACTGAGTGAATAGAGCTACATATTTCTAAAGCTAGTACTTTATGTTAGATCCTCTGCTTCATGGGAATTTATCCTACACACTATGAAATCAAAGGAAAGTGGAAACCCTGGCCCAGTTTTTTCTTTTATCATACCATGGCTACTGTGGTATGCATATGCAGTGAGTGTTTTTCTCACATGAGACAGGGTTGCTGGGCTGGACGGCCTTGGAGAACGGGTCAGTGAAGGGAAACTGAAAAAAAGAGGCTGTGAATTTGAAGGAGGGGATGGAGGGTGTACAGGAGGGTTGGGGGAGGGAAAGGGAGGTGAGAAATTGTGTGATTATGTTATAATCTCAAAAAATGAAAATAAAAAGAATTCTACGTCTGGAACTTCATCTGAATAATTTGAATGAATAGGTGAGTCATTAGAATTCATTTGGTGATCTTGAGGATATGAATTATCTTTGTTTTTCATGCCACAAAAGTTTTCTCATGGTTATCTGACCATTTGAGTTTTGATCAGTGGTTCAGAATAATTTTCCTTTTATTCTTTTGCTTCAAGTTGTTGCTCTTCTTTCAGTTGACAGGTTTGAAATGCTCAGGATAGACTAAGCTGTAACAAAGTTGTGGTGATGTTTTTGCCTGTTGGACTGGAGTTCTGAACCCCAAAATCTTTTTGCAGTCTGTCCTTACCAGAAATTACCAGAATAACCTGTAGGACCTAAAGTCAACACCATATTGATCAGGAAATTGTCTTTCCCCTAGCTAGCTTTTATCATGCTAGGAGGGCCTGCACAGATGTCAAGGGTAGAAAAGGGCCTCAATACAGCACTGGATGGGGTATATGGAGGGAGAGAGAGAGAGAGAAAGAGAGAGAGAGAGAGAACAAGAAGAAGAAGAAGAAGAAGAAGAAGAAGAAGAAGAAGAAGAAGAAGAAGAAGAAGAATCAGGGAGATTTCATGTAGCTGCCGAAGGAGAAAGACACTGCCTAAACCTTCCCCATAGGCCACAGCCTTGTGGTGATGCATAGATCAATAGAAATGGGTTAATTAATTTAAGATGTGTTTGTTAATAAGAAGCCTGATCTAATAGACCAAACCGTGTTGTAATTAATTTACAACACTGTTGTAAATTAACTAATAATTAAATTAATAGTTTCTGTATGATTTTTTAGATCTGGATGGCCAGGAAAAAAAAAGAGCAGTCTCTTTCTAGAGTAATCCAATGTGTAGTGCAGCGACAGTGGATTTCTCTTTGTTTTCTTTTTTTAAATTAAAAATAGATATAGTATATTTACTTGTCTCCTTCAGACACTAATGGAAACCATGGCTATTGATGCATGGGCTAATAATAGCAATCATCACGCAGTATGGACTCATGGCAACTCAACTGAGACCTGGAGAATATGCAATTTCTACCTGTAAAGTATGCCTCCATTTAAATGGCTAACAGTGTCAGTATTACTTTAATCTGTCAGTGAAAATAATACCTGTAACCCAGGGAAAAACTCAGCCTATGTGTTCATGTATTGCACATCTAAAACCTCAAAGCATTTCTGAAAGAAATTAATGACCCAAATTAATTTAATTAGCAGATCATAACATTATTATGATTTCTATTCAAGTTTAATTGTAAGCTCTATGCAGCCCTCAGCTCATAGAGAATGAGCCTTTTCCCCCCAGAAATTGTCATAAAATAGAAAAGAATATGATTTTAATGGAGGATGAGTAGAAAACTGATGTTCCCTAGTGAAATATTTTCTATGCAGCTATTGTACAAAGACAGTTTGTCATTATGCATAAAAGAATACACGTGCGTGGCTATAGACTTGGTGTCATGCATGACAATTGGTTTTGAGAGGGTGATTAGGAAACACAGGAAGGAAAGACAAGTCATTCTACTTGAAGACAAGCTCCAAGTGGAGTGTCTTTGGTGCTCAACATTCTCTCCGGAATAGATCCATGTTGCCAGGAGCAATTGTGTCTCACTACTATAGAACTCTAAGTTATTTAAATGCCATTTTCCACAGCTCTTTGAAGAGGTTGAAGATTATCTATCTATAAAGAATATAATCTCTATGTATCTAAAGAACCTGATTAAACTATAAAACAAACATAGATGACTATTGGTTCTATTTACCCTCACTCTACCTCCTTCCTCTATTCTACCCAGATCCAACACACCACCACTTTCTTACTTTAAAACAATAAAACACTCTCAGGGTTTTATTATTTTTTCCAATAAAGCTAGCTTGTGCTGCCAAAGTATTCTGGAATGTTTGCCCTTCTACTGGAGCATGGGGATTTATAAACGGCTACATTCTTTTTTTTTTTTCTTTTGGTTTTTCAAGACAGGGTTTCTCTGTGGTTTTGGAGCCTGTCCTGGAACTAGCTCTTGTAGACCAGGCTGATCTCAAACTCACAGAGATCCAACTGCCTCTGCCTCCCAAGTGCTGGGATTAAAGGCGTGCGCCACCACCGCCCGGCTAAATGGCTACATTCTTAGAAAAAGAAATTGACCCTCCCTCTTCCAGCTGCTATTAATTAATTAATTATCAATAGCTCTTTGGCTGGAAGTGGGAATTAGTGCTCAACTCCTCAGTCGAGAGATGTAGCCTATCAAAGAGCAGCCTCGATGAAATTTGTACATTCCAGGGTAGGAACATGAGGCATGAGGATTAGAATGATTAAGCAAAAGAATCAGAGATATGAGAGAAATAAGAGACAGAAACAGAACAGCATTGGTAGGGAAATTTAGAGGATACTGAATCCATCTGCCTTTATGTTCAACATGCTTATATACTTCACTCCAAAAGAGGACAGGGAGGCAACAGATTTTGTTAGCATCATACAAGGAATAGACTTGAATTTTATGACCTTTGGTCAAGGTAGAGCAAATCCTCCTCTATATCCAAAACACTAATTGACCACACCCTAGGTCAGAATCTCTTGTTTGTAGTCACACCTGTTCTCAACAACTTTGAAAGAGCAAATGTAAGCTCAAGCTCTCTGACCTCCAGTCCAGGTGGAACAGGCTCACGTATGCGGGTCCTCACAATTCCTCCTTTTTATTTTAGTTACTAAAGCCCGTGCTTCTGCTACAGGAAAGATGACTGTGCCTAGCTTGGAGACATTTTTCTCATTTTCCAGACTTACCTGTCATCATTATATACATTCTGTTATGTCTGTCCTGTCTTAGATTGCCTGGAGGGGGGAGCAGGAGGCAGAAATCTTGCCTGTCTCTGACTACCAGCCTCTGTGAATAAAAGGTTAAAGGAGAAGGCATCTCGGCTCTGTGTACCTTTGAGCCAATTTTCTGTCGAGAGTTAGTCATATGCAAGAAGATAAAGATGCTTTGTGATACATATACTTCCATATCTACAACATCTCCTAATAATGGAGTGGACGATGACCAGAGAAGGGACTGCATTTTTAAATTGGTGTAGGATATCTTTAACAGTTTTCAGCTACAATCAAAATCCAAATTTGTCCTTTTAAGCATATCAAATCTAAGGACTTACCATGTCAAATTTGTCTCAGACAAGCTCTAATATTTTTCTAATCAATACCGTCTTCATAATGAACTAAATCAGTAACAAACACTAACAGTTCAGTGCCATAATTCTAACATAGAAGTTCGCAAGAAATACACAATTTGTCAAATCATAATTCTCTTAAATCTGTTCTAACCAAAAGACAAGAAAAGGTTTTTTTGATGGGTGAGCTATGAGTCTTTTTCCTCTCCTATAGTCCAACTGCTTTGCTACTTTTAAGTTTCAAAGATAAGTCTGAACTGTCCCACTCCCTGAGCAGCAGCAGAAACTTTTATACTATCTTTGAAGAGGAACTTCAGTTACAATTTGTAATGAGTCTTTTTTCCTAGAGGGGAAAATTGAAGTCTCAGTTCTCAGGTTCTTTATTTCAACAGCAGATTGAATGTCATACTGGCAAAAACAGGTTTTGTGTCTCAAGATATAGTATGGATAAACTGCCAAACATTCAGTCAGCATTCTTGGACCAGCTCCAAAGTAAACAGGACTCAGTAAGGTTTGGAATTTGTTCTGTAGGCTCACAAGAAAAACTGGGTATCAGCCTGATCCTTTGTCAGACTGCGGCATGATGACATAAGTTAGGAACATTGGTTCAGGATTTTCAAGCCAACTCTTCTGTGGGCCATCAGTGGCTATGATGCCATCAAGGCTGGCATTTTCTTTGCTGTATGTATCAGACCAGACATTCCAGAAGCCATTTTGCTTTAGCCTCTTTCTGTGAAAATACACAGACATGCCCCTGATCTGATATTGATACAGGGCAGTGTCCTTTCCATAATCCAGTGCAAGGGTCTTTCTACCTTGCTTTAGCGAAGGTCACTTTGGTGCTGTCATGCCAAGATCTGTCCGTGGCAGATTGTTGATGGGCATCCATGTTCAAGAAATTTAGGTAAAGGGGCATTATTTTAGGCATTATGTAGCAACTAAGGGTATAATTCTCACATTTTTTATCTTTTGAAGCTGTGTTTTCAAGGAGCCTTGGGCACACTCCACAATTCCTTTTCCTTAAGAATTATAAGGAATTCCTGTTTTATGTTTGGTATTCCATTGGGATCAAATTGCCGAAATGCTTTATTAACATATCCAGAGCCATTGCCTGTTTTTATAATTTCAGGAATTCCCATATATGAAAAATACTATAAGCAATGAGTTATTACATGCTCAGGGGCTTCTCTAGTTTGTGCAGAGGCCATTAAGAAACCTGAATATGTATCAACTGTTACATGTACATATCTTAACATGCCAAACTCTGCGTGCCCAACTCTCCATGAGTTAAGGTGGTCAGACACTTAAAAGAAATACTGCGCTAGTTCAGAAATAAGAAATAGGGATTTATTAAAGGGTAAACTCACAAATCAGAGTTCTCCACTTGACTGGTTGAATCACATGACCCAAAGGGGCAGCCAACCGGGCAAGGAGCCAGAGGAAGAGAGGGAAGGGACGCATGTACATGCTCGGCTTCCCTGTAAATAGTAAGAGAGGCCATGCCCATGTAGGCAGGCAAATACAAGCTGTAATACTTCCTAGAGCAATTTGCCATAAATGATTATGAAGCAAAACTCAAGAATGTACTCCCAGGTGAGGTACAGGTAAATGTTGTGGGCATATATCATATTCCTTAACAATCCAGTGAATAATGTCTCTTGTTAATCCAAATTGTTTCCATAAACGATTACTATTTTGATGATGTAAAGCATGTGATCGTTGAGCAAGCTAACTTGAAATAAAGCAGTCAACTTCGTAAACTTATCAGCTAGAGCATTACCTTCAGCCAATGGACCAGGAAGATTTGGATGTGCTTTAATATTACCCAAAAAGCATGGCAATTTCCTTTGGTGAATGGCATCTTGATTTTACTGAAACAGCATTTTAACCTTCTTATTACTAGCCCCAGTGCATAGAACAGTTTCTAATATCTGGAGAGCTTTAAAAATGTAATGACTGTCAGTATATAAAGTAAATGCATTATTTGCAGAAAGCTGGAATACCACAGCAACAGCTTGTAGCTCAACTATTTGAGCTAAGGCCAGTTCTTTTTGCACTACACGTCCCTTATTATCAACAGCATATGCTGCTCTTCCATGGGAAGTACCATCTGAAAAGATTAACATTTCATACTTTAAGGGATCTTTCATACCCACACAGAAACTGTATTAATTAAATCACTGCTTGGCCCATTAACCCCAGCTTATTATTGGCTAAGTCTTACATCTTAATTTAACCCACCTCTATTAATCTGTGCATTGTCATGTGGCAGTGGCTTACTGGCAAAGCAAGTCTATCTCGGATAGCGAATTCATGACGTCTTTCTGAGTCTGCCCTTCTTTCTCCCAGCATTCAGTTATGTCTTCCCTGTCTACCTAGTTTCTGCCCTATCAACAGGCCCAAAGCAGTTCCTTTATTAACAAATGAAAGCAACACAAAAGCAGGGCTTCCTATATCATGAGGCTTCCTACTGAGGTTTGTATTTGGTTCCCTGAGTTTTTCATTTCCACCATCCTTCCAGTTGGGTTTTCGGTAGTACTTTATTGATGTGTAGTAATTTTGTATCATGGATTGACTTCCTTGTTTATTTCAGTTCTGTGCTTTTGTTATTTTGGGGTATACTCCAATCTATCTTGAGCTGTTTGTACATAGTTACAATCATTTTTTTCATTTATTTACCTGATTATTTTTCTAGGTCATATTCATCAGGCCCCTTATTCTGGGATTAGTAATTTTTGAAGGAGACATGGTCTTCTGAGTTTTCATGTTGTTTCTGTTTCAGGGCTAGGATTGGACATCTGAAGCTAACTAGCTGAGTAGAACTGTGGGCTAAGAGTTGGAGGTCTGTGGACTTGAGACTTGTCATCTTTGGAGCTAAGCAAGCTCAGAAATGTAGATATGGGTCTCAGGATTTAGGAACCTCCTTACCTGAAATATACTTCTATAGTTCTTAATGTATTATATAAAAATTTCCCATTGAATATTTAAATTATTTCATTTGTTACCTAATCCTATTAACGAGACATAATTGCATCCATTTTACTGGTGCAAGAAATAGATATGCATGCAAGCTCATAAGAGCAGAGAAGAGATTAGTATAATATATTGAACTTAACCACACCATCAGAGCTTTTCATTGAATCAGTGGGAACAGAAACTAGAGAATTCAGAAATGAATGTTACTACATTTGTGGATCTACTTCCAAGTTTCTGTGAAGAGAATGCTGTATGCAAAACCTCATTCTCTTGGAAATATAAAAGAAAAACAGTAGGAAATATGCACATTTGTTAAAAGCACATGGATTTTGAACTAAAAAGGGGGAATTCTCCTCAGTATTAATGAATTGATCAAATGTTATCAGCATTAAAATAATTTAAATTAAGCATTGGGTAGCATGAAACTTCAGAAACTATATAAATTATGCGTTACTTTGAAGCCTAGCTTAAAGTATGCATCAAGAGAATAAGGCAAATATGATCAAATTTCATTTTAATGATGGAGTATAAAATGTAGCTTAGTTTCCAAATCTAAAGCCATTGGTGTTGCCATTACATGGACTTGAGTATCATTTCTACAAATGGTATCTAGATTTAGAACATGTTATTTTTTCACTTCTTTAAGCCCCATTTTTCTTACATGTGTAATAATAATGGGTACTAAAAGTACACTGTAGAATTGTTACAGAATTTCGACCTTGACACATGGCCCAATTGGTAAAGCACCTGCTTCACAAGCACAAGCACATGGATTTGGATGGTCAACACCTATATAAAACCCTGGTTAGCGGGTGTATTTCTATAGGTAAATACAGGAGGAGGGATAAAATAGAAAGATGTCTGTTAATAATAAATAACAGTAATAAAACACAAAAGCTACCAACTCCATAGGAACAACAGAGGTTTTAAACAGGATATAAACCCTCAAAAATCAGTTTTTCCCAGTTTATTTCTTTTTTTTGTTATTTATGTATCTTCAACAAATCATTGAGCAGGTTTTGCTATAGATTTTTCACAAGCCAACTCAAGTACTGATTTTGCATCTTGTGTGCAACTTTATAACCATGAAGGGTAAATGCTCCATGCAACCCATCCTCAATGTGGTGATGTGTCACCTGAACTCCAACATTCTGGAGCCGTGTCACATACATGAGTCCATCATCTCTTAGGACATCATACTGACAAGTGATGATATAGGTCAGAGGTAAGTGACTCAAAGTGTTGTCGTTGGCCAACAGAGGGCATGCCTTCACATCTAGGAACCCTGGGTACTTTTTAGACAGTTCAGAACTACCAGGAATAGGACTTTTGTAGATGTGACCTTTCTTATATCTCTCAGGGAGTAAGGAACTCCAGTTCACAAGTTGCAACAGATGGCTGGATTCCAGAGGTACATGTTGGTTGAGAAGCATGGCTTTCTCCAGTGTTCGATCTGTAGTAAAGTATTCACTCCAAAATCTGGCCATCAATGAGGGGGTTAAAAGTGGAAAATGTGAACCTTCTTGATAAGATGGTAAATTTAAATCAAGAGCCTGAAGCGCAGGATATATTAAGGCCTGAACCTTGAGTTTTGTCTTGACTTCTGGATCCTGTATGAGCTGAAAAGGAATTAAAATTACATTGGAATGAATATTTTAATAGGTCTATTTTCAACTAGAAATAATATGTAGAGATGAGATAAATTCAGATAATCAAATACAACAAAAATATCTCACAGAATTTCCAATTTTCTATATTGTCAGTGTCTATTTCTTAATGCAATTACTGACATCATGTAGAAGTATTTTACACAATGCACACGATTCAATTTCAAAAAATACCAAGAACATGCTATGGCATATTTCTCCAGAAAGTACTTCTATAATTTTGGCAAGTCATGTATTATTAAACATGTTAACTAGCCAAAATTCAGGGAAGATGATGACAAGCAAGTCTCTAATTTTTATGAACATAGCTTTGCTCTGACACCGAGAGTCAATAATCTCAACATACTAGAGAGTGGGTGGTTTATGCATCTCCCATAAAAAAGAATCAATGAGAGGAGGTTCTTCTATTTAACATCACAGTTGTTGCCCTGAGTGGGTACCAACACTCATCTGAGGAAATGGTGTCCTTTAAGTAGTGCATGTTACCAGAGACAAGACAATGAAGTTACGATTTACTGCATGGAGCGTTTTGGTCTTGAAAATATTTCAGGTCTAGAAATGTTCTGCTTCTTTTTAATCTGTGACAGTCTAGAGCATATTAAATGATATTTTATATAGATATTAAATAACTATGAGTCAGAAACCTTTAAAAATGACAGAAGTTGGAATTTATGAAAGAAGGGTTTATAACACAACAAGGAAAACAAGTACATGCCTAAAGTGATTAGGATAAAGGGACAAATCCACAATTGGGTACTGCTACAGTTCCAAAACTTCTTGCCTCTTGATGTGTTACTCATGTTGTACCTGGCTGCCTTTCAGAGCAATGAGGCATATGAAATGTAGAATTCATACTGTGGAATATGTTTTACACTTGTTTTACAGATATTAGAACAAACCACAGAATTTGTAGCTTCTTTTCTCTGGAAATAAAGAAGGTACTTTAAATGTAGCAGTTTGTGGCAACAAAATGTCCTCATAGTAGCTAACTATCCTAAAAGTTTATGAGCAACTCAGATCTGAAAACTATCAATCTTCTGTGAAGCAAAAGGTAGCTATAAACTGATGAATTATATTCTTAGTTCTCTTTACTAACATTTCTCCTTTGGAAAATTTCATTATTCCATTATCAAGAGATATGAAATTAGTTCTGGCATCGTACAACTGGTAATATTACAGTTACCACGTTCACAATTTTGGTGACTAGTGTCATTGACTAACTTTACTAGTATAACCCATAATAAGTACAGGATGCTACCTAACTGACCATAATAATCATATTCAACCAAAAGCCTAGAACTTGTATCTTGTCATAATATATTAAAAAAACCACTGACATAGAGCAAACTTAGAAACAGTATATAGACAAAGGTTTCCTAACATCAGTACAGGTGTCTCTCTAGTATTTCAACACGGTAATAAAGGTAGCATGTTTTCATTGATTGTTTAAATGTCTGAAGCAAATATATTTATATGTAGGGTGTTTTAAGATCTCAGACAAACCTGTTGGGTCACAGCTGCAGCTAAGTTCCCACCAGCACTGTCCCCAGCTACACCAACTCTTCGAGGATCTACGCCATATCTTTCAAGAATGTCCTCCTGTAAGAACCATCGTAAGGCACTGTATACATCTTCAAACTGACGTGGGAAATGATATTTGGGGGCCAAGCCATAGCTGTGCGAAGAATAATTGTTTCAAATGAATGAAATTTAATTTCATATGCCATCTTTCTAAAATAAAATGCCAATTTTCTTTTAATAAACACATTTTTTAGTTAGCTATATACCTGTGGATATATTTCACCCCAAAATCTTGGCTGATTTCATCATTATACTAATAAAAACTAAACAAAACGATTGAATTCTCCTCAAGGCAAAAATAAAAGAATGAAAAATATAGAAGATAATACATTTCCTAGCATTTTCATTTTACTGTTTTTATATTTTTTGGAAATTAGTCAGTGACAAAGAAATCTTATAAATTTAGTGTTTGAACTTTACCTAATATAAAAGCAGTATGTGACCACTATGTTTATTAATTACTTAGTTATTCAATTCATTCCTATCAAATTGATTTCTTATCAATTATTCTATAGTATGTGATTTGCCTGTTTCCATGTGTAGCTTGAGGACAAATTGCTTTCCGTGATGATTTTGCCATGGCATATGGTAAATTAATCCCTTCAGTGCAGTGTGCCAAGACATCCTCAGGAAGACCACATTGTGTAGAAAATATTTTTCTCAGTTTACATACAGATAAACTAAACTGAATTAATAGTATATAACATGTACAAAGTCTCAAGGCAAAGTTTCAAATCTTATTTGCCTATGATTCTTTAAGTACTCAGTCTGCTGAAGGAAGCTATGCAGGTCACTGGTATGAGTTATGTACCAGTGTTATTGTGTTCTATAGATTTCTGAACTTTCTCTTTTCAGTCCTGGTTGATTTTAAGCGTTGTGTTTTGTTTTGCTTTTTGTTTGTTTTCTCTGAGTCTATTCTTGCCAACTCGAGTTCACTTTCTCTTTGCTCACTCTCCTAATTTCAGTTAAAATATTCCAGAAATAACCCCCCCCCGAAAAAACCCAAAAATGACCAAGAGTGTTAGTTTCTTGCTGCACAAAACATACAACTAAACATTGAAGAAGCAAACCATAGTCTTACTCAGTTGACACGACAATAGCATCGAGTCTATCAGCTGTCTGTCTTGCTAGAAGGTCATACAAAGAAAGAGCTGAAATTGAGAAAACAGAGTGAGAGACTGTAAAGTGAACTTCTGGAAAAGCACGTCATCAAAAGCACAGCAGTGCACATTGCTCCTCACAGACAGTTTACAACTGCTTCTGTTTGCAGCACTTCATCATCAGTGTAGAAAATGAATCCTCAGCCATTTTTACATAGGGCTTGCTCTATTAGCTTCACACTGCCTAGTTTAAAACACTGCTCTTCTATTGAATATCTATATCTTTTTGAATTTAGCAAATTTTAAGTGTTGAAAGTATACATGACTATGCCCCTACTATAAGCTACTGAGCTGTGGACTTGCTGAGGCTGATATGCACCAGTCCAGATAATATGAATGCTCGTTGTCCCTTCACCTGGAGCAGATAATCAGATGGTTTTAATAAATGCCCCCATTGCCCAATCTTTGCCAGGTTTGGGTCTAGTAACTGCTGACTATGCGGGGGGGGGGGGGGATTGCTTGATATCATGGGAAGAATGTTTCTGTGTAGATGAATCAAATGTGGTTGAAACTAATGGCAGCTGACCACCCCCAAACTCTGCGAAGACCTGCTCTGCAAATTCCAACCCATCGAACAACTTAGTTCATCCCATAGCCCTTGTTTCCCTGGCTCCTACTCTTTATCACTCCTCCAGTTATATTATGTTTTATTCTGATGCTTGCTTCCTTCTTTATTCAGTTCCTCCAGTGGCGCATCACCACCAATTTCTTAGCACCAATCAGGTCATGGTACACTACCAGGCCCTGGACCCTTCTGATACAGATGACAGGCTCCTCGGCGCTTACAATGATGCCTCTCCCTTATAAAATAAAACTGGGAGATGTAGGTTTTATTATTTATGTAAGCCTCCTGTTCAGAACAGGAACGTGGCCTGGCAGCTCTCTCCAAACTCAGCAACATAAAGGACTCCCTCCCCAGTGAGGCTACCTGCTCTCTTCATGGGCTTATCTGGAAAATGTCTCTAGGCCCAGATGCCTGACTTATCTCTAGAATGACCCTTGACAGAGGTTCCTGCAAACACTCTTTCCTTTGTTATCACATGGTAATTATACGATAGACTCTATCCATTTTTATAGAGCAGTGCTGCCACTAACCCAGCTTTATGATAGGAGTTAGGTGATTCCCCCGTTACCAACCCAAAACCTATGTATTCCATATATTCTGCAATAAAGTTGAGCTAGCTCTATGGTACCCTGTTCTCTATTTCTGCTCCTTCTACCCTCTTAGACCAGTGGTTGATGATCCCCAAGGAAGAAGGAAAAATTACAATTACCTCCCATGTTCTCAAAGCCAAATGAACTTATTCCCTTCCTCATGTCTCAACTCAAATTCCAGAACACCTCATAACCCTCAATCTGAAAATCAAGTTATAAAGATGCTATACTCTACTCATGCTATTATTGAACGTATACATTATAAAATATGTAAGGTATATTGGCTATATTAGTTATATGTGATTTATTCACATTCAATAAAGTAAAATTATAATAAATAAAATTACATGTAGTAAAATATATTATAGAATCTACATGTAACAAATGAAACATATAAAATCAAATAAAAATAGTAGTTCAGCTCTGTGATTTTTCTAACTAACATCTTTGGTCTCACTTCCTTCAGATTAACGCTTTATAAAAGACCACAGTCAGCATCTCAATTTGATGATATTTCACCCATTGTTCGGTTCATCCCCACTTTGGTTCTCACTACAGCATTCCATCAACTCTACAATAATAAAACCATAAATTCAAGAAGCCCTTTCTCTTCTTACCTGAGATTGTCTACAGTTCTTAGTAGTAATGAATACCCATTACAGAAAGGAATGCATTTCAAACAATTGAAGAACTATTATATCTTATTGTATTACTATAACTAACATATATAAGTTTTTAATATGGAGTATATCACATTTTGTGGAACAAATAACAATGCTCAAGGAAAGGGACATACCTGCACTCCCCAAACACCAGCCACCACCGTGAATATAAAACAGGCCCCTCCTGAGGGTCTCTGACTTCCTTTTGGGCATGTATACGCGAACAGGAACACTGTTGAAAGCTGTGTCTATTACAGTGACATTTTCATCAGAAGTGGCTGGGACTTCTTGAAATCTACTAAACAATTGTATTGTGCTCATGAAATGACTGATTCCCAGAAGTTCCGCAAGAGTAGCCTAAATGAAGAGGAAAAAAATGATTAAAATCACGTGTGTGTGTGTGTGTGTGTGTGTGTGTGTGTGTATGCAGACTGCTGAGTCCCTTTAGAGTCTGCCCACTTGTAGATTATGTTCCCTGAGCCTAACGTAACACTACAACGTAGTGTTGTAGACTTATTAGGTGATGTCGAGCACCCTCAAAGTTAATTTTTATATTTTACAAACTGTACTTCTTTTCATTTTTTAAAATTTATGTTCATTAGTGTTTTGTTCATTAGCACTGATGTTTGTATGAGGGTGCCAGGGACCCTGGAACTAGGTTATAGATAGTTGTGAGCTGTCATGTGGATGCTGGGAATTGAACCTGGATCCTCTGGAAGAGTAGCCAGTGCTGAAAAGTGCTGAGCCATCTCTCCAGCCCCTGTTTTCAAATTAATTTCAATTTTGTCATTTGTTTCTTTGAATTTTTGCTTCCAATTTTATTTTATATTCTAGGAATTAACCTCCTATCAAATATATTGCTGGCAAAGAGTCTTTCCCTCTAAGGGCTTCCTCTTCATGCCGCTGAGAGTTTTCCTGGCTGCTCAGGAGCTATTTAGTTTTTTGAAGTTCCATTTTTCAATTGTTGAGATTAATATCTAGGTAACAGGTATCTCACTCAGAAAGTCCTTGCCCACACGATGTCATGTAGGACTGCCTGCACTTTCTTCTAGCAGTTTCAACATTTCAGGTTTCACATGGAGTTATCTGATCCATTTGGAGTTTGGAGTTGATATTTCTGTGCAGTGTGATAGATAATTGTTTTCTCTATATGTTCACATGCAGATGTCCCGGTATTATTTATTGAAGATGCTGTCCTTTCTCCAGTATGTGTTTGGGAATCTTTGTCAAATATTAAATAGCTTTGCTAATGTGAATTCCTATTAGTATGCATGTCTGCCTGTGCTATTACCATCTAAAACACTTTATGCTTTTCATAATTTTGTCATCAAAACATGGCATACATTCTTTTTATAATTTTCACGTATACAATTTCACATGTTATATGGAATATTTTACTTTTGATAGACACATTGCAATTTTTCTTTAGAAGGTTTTCATAGACTGTATTTTGATTATGTTTTCCCCTCATTCAACTCAAAACCTCCCCAACTCCCTACCCATCCCAATTTATGCTCTCTCTCAAAAGAAAAGAAAATACACTAAAATCAAAACCAAAACAAACAAGCAAAAAATTAAGAATACAATAAAATGTCAAAACAAAAAATAACCATACTTTTAGCAAAGGCTCAGGAATAAAATCATATTAAATTGTCCCCTATATATTATATTTTACTAAAACATGCTTATTAATGGTCCCAGATACATACATGAAAGATTTAAATTTTATTTTAAATAATGAAACATATTCACATTATCTGTATATGATTGGACACTAGGACCATTTTGAGAGTTTTGAATCATTATATAATGGCTTTGTATTAAAATTAAGTTACTTTTTCAGTTCCAGGTTTTAGAGTTAATTCTTAAATGCCTACATTTCATTTAGGCCCAGTTAAGAATATTTAATAACTATTTTTTTCAAAAGCAGCAATTAAAGGAAGGAGGGAAAGAAATATGAAGAGAGGAGAGGAAAACTTAGGGAGAGAAGGGAGAGGAAAGGAAGGGACAGAGATTGCCTTGATTCTCAGAAGAGACTTTTAACTTTGGGGTTTTAAACAGCAGTGAATCTGTCATAGACTACAAGGACTTTGAAGATGGACTGAATGCATTTTTGCATTACAGTATGACTATAAGCCTACTTGGCAGGGAGTAGAAAGTGAGAGTTTGAATAGAAATGCCCCATATAGGCTTATAGGGAGTGGCACTATAGGAGGAGTGGCCTTGTTGAAGGAAGTCTACAACTGTATTTGAGTTTTGAGGTATCAGAAGCTCAAGCCAGTCCAACTTTTTCTCTCTTCTTGCTGACTGAAGATCTGAATATAGAACTACTCTCAGCTACTTTTCCATTAACATGACTTTATGCCACCATGCTTTCCACCATGACTATAGACTAAACCTCTGAAATTGTAAGCAAGCACCAATTAAATGCTTTCTTTAATAAGAGTTGCTGTGGTTATGGTGCCTCTTCACAGCAGTAGAACACTGACTAAGAAGACTTCATACATGAAGAGTGTATATACATGTGTATATATATGGAATTACTCCACAGTACTGACAGCCCACAGAAGCCATAGACTATCAAACAAAATGCCCAGACATGGTATACCTCCCTTTGCGTTATTGGTCAGGAAGTTCCAAGAGACTACATGTAGTTTTGTATGTTAAATATTGCATATATCTATATACGTAGACATTATAGCGTTAAGATTCCTTAAATATGAAAATTAAATAAAAACGATTTAACTGCATTACCAAGACATAGTTGAAAACTGTCAGTGAACAGTCAAGTTAGCAATACAACAAATGTACACATAACATTCAAGTAATGGCATTTACTATTAATAAACAGTGCAAGTATTCAAAAGGAAATAAACATGGAGCTGTAATCACATTAATACATTAGACTATGTGGTACACTAACAAAATGACATTTACTCTAAGTGTACAGTGCAAGTATATAAGACTATATGGTACACTACTTCAAAATGAATTCTTAAAATATCATAGACTATCAAAAGGCAGAATCATAGGAAGTCAAGGCCTAAACAGAGAGATATTGTAAGATTATTGCTAACCAGAAGAAAGAAAAGAATAAATACACTGTTACCAGTCGAAGAGTTCTACTCAGACTTCTGTAATTAAACAGAGTTCTATTCAGTTCTTCCTTTCCTGAAGTTGATCCTTGTAAACAGCTTCACCTGACAGTACTGTAAAACACAAACTCTCCATCCTCGCTCCCTCTTTTTTCTCCTCTGCTAGCTTCTTCCCTGTTGCTGTCTATACAGGGATTAAACCTGGAGGCTGAGCATGCTAAGAAACTTCTCAACTTCTATTTTATTTCTATTAAATTATTCAGTATTCATAAGGCTGATAAAGTTCAGAACTTACTGTTTGTTCTTATAGAACTTACCAAATCCATGAATACGTTTTCTGTTGTTATTTCGAGTGTCAGTTTCCAAGGCTCTTCAATATCACCTGGAAGAGGGGTATAAACATAATAAGCTACAAGGACCACAGTGATGAGAAGCAAAATGGTTCTCCCCATGTTTGGCTCTGCTCATTCTACTTTGGCAGTACAGCAAATGAAGCTGTTTTCAAATTTTTGGAGGTTGAATTTTAACCTGCTGTGAAGTGTTATCTAACTTATTAAGTACAAATTCCACTGCACAATTGGTTCTTGCAAAATCTCTCCAAAACCCGTTGTTCTTACCCTAATCCCCAGGCAAAGAGTTTTCAAAACAGAATTTCTCTCTCCAAGTTATACTTCCAATCTAGGAACCAGATCCTGTTTCTATGCTACTTTGTAAAGAAATGTAACCATGACGAAAATAATGCCTTCACTCTCTGTTCTGTGTATAAAGGGTATTAAACAAACAGGAAACCTAGTGTGTGCATCAACTGTAAACTAAGAGAATACAAAGGGCACCTTTAAAGCAATGCAAACTTTGAAAAGAAAGTTCCTTCTTCTTTATTCCCTCTGTGCCTTACTATGTCCCCTGCTGAGAAACTTCAGCAGTTTTTTTTTTTTATGAGTGTTCAATTGCACTGATTAGGAAATTCTTTTTTGTTTTACTTCTTTTATTTTGAGATTATGATAGAATTACATCATTTTCCCTCCCTGTTTACAGCTCAGTTGATTCCAGTCTGTACAATTCTCTTGTAAAACCTGTTTCTCTTTACTTTATATCTGGCTGTCTTGGTAGTTAAAGTCCCGCCTTCCTAGCTCCAGTCCAGTATTCTCATCTAAAATCTGATGTGTCTGTCAGTCTGTTAACGCTGCCAGCAGCAAACCCGCAGAAAAGACATTTTCTGTTCTAAGTCCCATTTGCTTGGATAGTAAATGATTCATGCGTTGAATGATTAAATCTTTTTATTGAGTTTGAAGCATATTCCACGTCAAATCAAACTGTGGACTTTATTTTCTCTAGGAAGTCTTTGTCTTCCTATCAGCATGGGAACAGAAGGAAGAATATTGGAGACTACTTCACACTGAGTGAACAGAGCTACGTATTTCTTTTTTTTTTATTTTTTAAATTTATTTATTTATTAAGGATTTCTGCCTCGTCCCCACAACCGCTTCCCATTTCCCTCCCCCTCCCCCGATCAAGTCCCCCCCCCCTCATCTGCTCAAAGAGCAATCAGGGTTCCCTGACCTGTGGGAAGCCCAAGGACTGCCCACCTCCATCGAGGTCTCGTAAGGTGAGCACCCAAACTGCCTAGGCTCCCACAAAGCCAGTACGTGCAGTAGGATCAAAAACCCACTGCAATTGTTCTTGAATTCTCAGTATTCCTCATTGTCCGCTATGTTCAGCTAGTCCGGATTTATCCCGTGCTTTTTCAGACGTAGGCCAGCTGGCCTTGGTGAGATCCCAATAGAACATCCCCATTGTCTTAGTGTGTGGGTGCACCCCTCGTGGTCCTGAGTTCCTTGCTCGTGCTCCGTCTCCTTCTGCTCCTGATTTGGACCTTGAGATTTCTGTCCGGTGCTCCCGTGTGGGTCTCTGTCTCTGTCTCCTTTCATCGCCTGATGAAGGTTAATATTCCTGAGGATGCCTATGTGTTTGTCTTTGGATTCACCTTATTTAGCTTCTCTAGGAACATGAATTATAGGCTCAATGTCCTTTATTTATGGCTAGAAACCAAATATGAGTGAGTACATCCCATGTTCCTCTTTTTGGGTCTGGCTTACCTCACTCAGGATAGTGTTTTCTATTTCCATCCATTTGTATGCAAAATTCAAGAAGTCCTTGTTTTTTACTGCTGAGTAATACTCTAATATGTATATATTCCATACTTTCTTCATCCATTCTTCCGTTGAAGGGCATCTAGGTTGTTTCCAGGTTCTGGCTATTACAAACAATGCTGAATATACCCAAGAGAGGCCCTATCATACAACAAAAGTATATGCTCAACTATGTTTAGAGCTACGTATTTCTAAAGCTAGTACCTTATGTTAGATCCTCTGCTTCATGGGAATTTTTCCTACACATGATGAAATCAAAGGAAAGTGGAAACCCTGGCCCAGTTTTTTCTTTTATCATACCATGGCTACTGTGGTATGCATATGCAGTGAGTGTTTTTCTCACATGAGACAGGGTTGCTGGGCTGGACGGCCTTGGAGAAGGGGTCAGTGAAGGGAAACTGAAAAAAGAGGCTGTGAATTTGAAGGAGGGGATGGAGGGTGGACAGGAGGGTTGGGGGAGGGAAAGGGATGTGAGAAACATTGGGACTATGTTATAATCTCAAAAAATGAAAAATAAAAAGAATTCTGCATCTGGAACTTCATCTGAACAATTTGTTTTTGTTGTTTTTTTTTGTATTTTCATTTTAAGATTCAGCACTATTCATTTTATTAATACTTTCTATCTTAATATGAATTAGTGAGCACATATATACATATAATTTATGCATTAATTAGTCCGTTCTTATCCTTTTGAGTCATGATACAAATTCTTAATGAATGATACTGAAAACAAAAGAACATTGAACCATTGACATCTTTCTGAGATTTAACATACAATAGTTTCCTAATAAAATTGTAGAAAATTTAAAAAAAAAACTTTTACGTGGAAGCATCTAAAGTCCGGAATATGTTTATGTGCCATTTTATCCTAATCACATGCCTATGACCAGGACCAACTTATCAATTAGGCATAATGATAAATTAACCAAAGCAACTAATATTAAAATAATTGTACACTTATAATATTAGGATCATTTAAAACTTAAACATACCTTCTTTCTGGAATGATACATTTAACATTTTCATACCATAGACATTTTAATATTCTTTTTTTATTACTTTGTAAATAATACCAATCAAAATTTCCATTTCCTCCCCTCCTCCTACTTTCCTCCTGCTCCCCCACTCAACCTCCCCTTCTCCAGTCCTAAGAGAGGGCAGGGAACCCTGCCCTGTGGTAAGTCCAAGGCCCTCCCCACCTTCCATCCAGGCTTAGGAAGGTATGCATCCAAATAGAATAGGATCCCAAAAAGCCAGTGCATGTAGTAGAGACAAATCCCAGTGCCATTATCATTGGCTTCTCAGTCAGCCCCCATTGTCAGCCACATTCAGAGGGTACAGTTTGATCCCATGCTTGTTCAGTCCCCCAGTCCAGCTGCATTTGGTGAGCTCCAATTATCTCAAGCACACTATTTCAGTGGGTGGACCAACCCCTCGTGGTTCTGACTTTCTTGCTCATCTCTCTCCTTCTGCTCTTAACTGGACCTTGGGAGCACAGTCCAGTGCTCCGATGACAGAATAATTTGAATGAATAGGTGACTCATTAGAACCTATTTGGTGACTTTTTTTTTCTGTTTTGGGTTTTTTCGAGACGAGGCTTTGGAGCCTGTCCTGGAACTAGCTCTTGTAGACCAGGCTGGCCTTGAACTCACAGAGATCAGCCCGCATCTGCCTCCCGAGTGCTGGGATTAAAGGCGTGCGCCACCACCGCCCTGTTTGATTTGGTGATTTTGAGGATACAAATTATCTTTGTTTTTCATGCCACATGAGTCTTCAGTTTTGATCATGGGCTAAGTATAATTTTCCTTTTATTCTTTTACTTCAAGTTGTCATTCTTTTTTCAGTCGACAGGTTTGAAATGCTCAGGGAAGACTTAGCTGAAACAAAGTTGTGGTGATGTTTTTGCCTGTTGGACTGGAGTTCTGGACCTCAAAATCTATCTGCAGTCTGCCCTTACCAGAAGATATGAGACTCACCTGTAGGACCTAAAGTCAACACCAAACTAATCAGGAAATTGTCTTTCTCCTGATTAGCTTTTACCATTCCAGGAGGGCCTGCACAGATGTCAGAGGTAGAAAAGGGCCTCCGTGGTTTTATACAGCACTGAATGAGGTATGATGCAATACCAATCTCTCAAGAAAGATGAACTTAAGCTTCCTGGTAAGATAGCTCAAGTTTATGAGTAACTAACCCCTTTCTGGTTAGATTTGAGGAGTGGATATCACACATAGTACTCTTAAACCCGGTCAAAAGCCTGTGGCTTTGATAGCCAGAGACCTTAGGGTAGAACACACTGTCTTTCTGAATGGTTATGCTGTCAAATTGCATTCACATATTTATTATTATAACAATAGACTTGGGCCTCTCTTCCTTGATCAGATTAGATTGTTGTTTTTTCAGTAGACAGTAATCAGTAGAGAAACCCATAATTATTATAGTATTGAGAATAAGAAACTCGAATATAAACCTTAAGTAGGACATGTGTATCACCCGCAACACACAGTGGCTCTGGAAACATCATGAACAAAAAGGCAGAAAGAACATTATGTATGGAGGATAGAGAGGCTTAAATAAATTGAATAATGCCAGAACACATTGTTTGATTGTTGTCTGAAGTTTCTGTCCTGTCCAATCCTGTAGCCATTAAGTCCCAAAGAATCACACAGAGGTCTACATTAATTATAAACTGATTGGCTTAGGATCTCAGGCTTCTCATTAACTCTTATAACTTATATTAGCCCTTAATTTTTGTCTGTGTGAGCCACATGGCTTTGTACCCTTTTGGTGAGGCAGTCACATCTTGCTTGCTCTGTGTCTGGCTTCCTTTGTCTCTGGGTGAGTACTGCAGAGTGATTCTTTCCTCTTCTCAGAATTCCCATTGGCCCACCTCTACTTCCTGCCTGGCTACTGGCCAATCAGCATTTATTTAAAATACAAGTGATAGAGCCAGACCATTGTCTCACAGCATTTGATTATTCTTACTCAGTGTGAAAATTTCAGCACTATTCTCTTCTGGAAACAATTTCAAAAAATATACCCAGATAGACACAAACAATTATTGTACTCATGGATAATGTTTTACCAGCAATCTAGGCATTGTTTAGAACAATAAAGATGGCGCAGAAAGCTAATCATCACATAGTCATAAAGGGCTAGGATAGAGGTGGCTGCATGACATTGTGGGAATATATTTGAAACTAGAAATATAGGTAGAGGTTTGATAGACACCCATTTGTTTGCTTGCTTTCATAAATGTGTTCCTGCTGATGGTTTTCTTTTGTTTGTTTGCGGTGTTTCCCGATATTTACACATTTGCCTCTGGGG